GTAGTGTAGAGGGCAGGGATGGGGTAGTTCTTGTAAGTTACACCTCCGTGGGGACTCTCCCACAGCCCTGGAGGTAGTGGCGGCTCCCTTAATCCACTATTCTTCCATTTATTAGTGATATCTTTACTCTTAATAGTCACTCCCTGTATTACTAGTTAATAATTCTATATATTAAATCTCCCCTGCTCTAATTATGGTGTGATTTCTGTCTCCTGATGGGACCTTGACTGATAAAAGAACCCTGAGTAGAGCACTTTCTTTTGAACCAGAAGTTGGGATCCTGCCTTTAGCTGTGCAACCTTAACTAGGTCACTTATCCTGTCAGAGCTTGTTCCCTCATCTGTAAAAAGGGGATAGTAATATATATGACACAGTTCTGTGGGCATCATATAAAATTGAATTCTCTATAAATGCACTTAAATGTGAATGCAGTTTAAAACTGTAAAGTGCTATCCAAATTAAAGCTTTTAATTATCAGTATAGTAACAGAATAGCAAAGAAGGAGATATTTTAAGAAAAAAATTACATGTATTCTGAGGGCTCATTACATTGTTTCCTGGGGGTAGGAAGGGCAGCATTTCCTATAGGATTCATTGTCATCAAATAAACATATTATTTGTTTTGTTAGTTGGGTTTTTTTGCCTGGCTCTTCAGAGATGGAAGCAAATAGTTGTGAGTCTTTAGTTGTTCCAGTTTCCAACTCTTTGAAAAATATAATGGAATTATAATTACTTTGAAATGCTAGATTCAGACTAATATGGTTACTTTCAATTCTGGTGTCCTTCACATTTACTTTATTTCTCCTTTGTCTGCCCCATGTCTGGAGTGGATGCCTGTGTCAAGAAAGAATTATTTCATTGCTGAGCACTTTATGTGCAGAACATGGCACTAGATATTGCATGCCTTTCCAAAAGAAAAATAGTTTAGGAAGCTTAAAAGCTTAAGAAAGAAAAACATGAGTGCATTCAATCCTTGGAAGAATTCTATAAGGTGGATGCTTGTGGCAAACTCAGTCAAGCTCCATCTCCATCCCTTAGGATTCCTTTGATTGAGTCTGCCTTACCCCCATCTTCTGTTTTCTTTTACTTCTCACAACCAGCCCCTGGGACTCTTTTTGGAAGACTGCCCAAGGGCTACTAGACTCATTTTGCCTTCAGGCACAGAGAGCCATAGAGAACCACTTGGGAGTTCACTTCTCTCCCTCCTAGGACACCATTTGCCAAGGACTGCCCTACCCAGTATAAAAGTCTCTAGCAGTAAGAAAATCTGAGGTGTAGTTTACACCCTAGGGCTCCCCTGCAGGATCATGCTGATGAAGGATTTTGCCTGGAATCACTTCCTTCCCTATCTTGCTTACTCTGGTAATTTATGTGTTTTTCCTGAAAGCATTTCCTTAATAAAACACTTGCACACAATCCTCATCTCAGAGTGTGTTTCTGGGGGTCCTGACCTAAGATATTGCTGTTCCTTTTTACAGATGAGGAAACTGAGGCTCAGGTATTTTAAATTACTTGAAGTCACACTACCAGTAAGGGCTGGAGTTGT